TAAACATCCAGTAGAAAAAAACATAACTAAAGATATTAAGCCATTAATGTATATTAAGATACAGTAATAAAGCTAGATATAAAAACAGGCTCCAATTGCTGACTCCATCTGGCAGTTTCCAGCTACACTGGGAGCTGACCTCTGTCATTGAAAAACTACAGCAAGGGGTCAGGGATTTAGCTTAGTGGTGCTGTGCCTGCCTCACAGGTACAAAGTCCAGAGTTCAATCCCCGGTCCCTGAAAAAAACATTACAGTAAAATATAGGAGCTCCACAAAAGTTTTAAAGTTTCTTAGCTGTCATTGTCCTTCAAATTGTCTCTGTCTTCTTGCAGCTAAAACTAGACAGACTTATGACAAAATATCAGACTTATAGATGACCTCCATCAGTAAAAGAGTCAAAGAGCCAGCAGATTACAATCACTTTTTCAGGTTCTACAAGTGGCTGTTTCTCCAATCTGCCTTGCCATTCTAGTGCTCCTGCTTAGATTATACATGCTCTCATTTCTTGAAAATTGTGTTTATTCTGGCCTAGAGGCTGCAAAATTCCAAGTGGTCTTACAGATGGAGCCAACGACAAATATACTGGTTTCCTTTTACCAAGATCCACCAGATCAACCTTGTAAAAAAAAGTTCGTAACTGTTAAACTACAGTATGACATCTACCAGAGGCCTATTAAATTAACTTTCTGGAGAGGGCCCTAACTGCCTCATATGGACTCTTCTCAGCTTGAAGAAATTAAATACAAACTGTGCTCTTTCTTTCCTAATTGAAGTTAGGAATACTTCAGAGGGGGAAATATTGCATAGAGCTAAGTTAGTTAGAAGTTAGAAGGCAGTTGGACAAGGTTGTGCCCTCAGCATAAAAACAATCAAGGCACCTTCACCGAAGGTTAACACCCACATACTTCCCTTAGGGAGGAAGAGCAGTGTGTGATATTCTAAATAGACCTCAATCGCTTTAATTAGGGATAAAAACCATCCCTAGCTAGCCCATTTCTTCCAGGAAATTCATATAACTTGCAACATGACTAACTTCCCCATTTGATCTTCATTTAATCAATATTATCTGGGCAACTATACTTGTAATTTTTTTGTGCGGGGGAGGGTATACGGGGATCATACTCGGGTCCTTGCACTTGAGAGGCAGGCGGCAGCACCACTGAGATAAATCCCCGGCCCTAACTTGTAATCTTATTGGTTGATCACGGTGTGGGCCCACCTCATGCCCACCTTGTGATTTTCTATTGGATCTTATAGTCATATCTCACTTTATACCTGCCTCACCTCATGGTTTTGCCTCATAAAACACCTTTGAGAAGCAGAGAGAGCAGGCAAAACCACTTTCTGGTCCCCCTTCTGTCTCTTATACAGAAGCTATCTTTCTCTGGATAAAATTTTCCTACTCTTAAACTTTGTTAATCCTAGAATTTATTCTTTGATTTTGGAGAACACAACTTGCATTTCAGATAAATAGCAGATTGGGAGTTATAATATTTTTCTCATTTGGATTACTTTGCTTATTTGTATTATTTGGTGGCCTATATCATAGGGACCCCATCATCCATTGTAACATTGTCACTATCTAATTGCATTAAAAAGAAACAAAAATGAAAACAAAGAAACTCCAGGCCACGGGTAGTCATTTCCCAGTCACAGACCCTGGTGACCTCTAATCTACTTTTTGTCCCTATAACTTTTTTTTTTTCTTTTTCTTGAGACAGGGTCTCACTATGTAGTTGAGACTGACCTGGAACTCACTATGTAGCCCAGGCTGGTCTCGAACTCACAGCGATCCTCCTGCCTCAGCCTCCAAGTGCTGGGATTACAAGCATGCACCATCATGCGGGCAGGCCCTATTGTTTTCTACATAAACACTGGAAAATAAAATATAAGGTTTTAAAACAATTCAAAGAAAATGCAATGCTTAAGAGTGGAGCTTAAAAACCAAATGATAGGTTTACAGCCCAGTGTTGGCTACAGACTGCTTGCTGTATAGTAAAATCAGCTGTGATATCCTGCCAGGCAGGAAATCTTAAAGAAAAACCCCCCAAAACAACAACAACAACAACAAAAAAAACACCACCAGGCTGGGCATGGTGGTGCATTCCTGTAATCCCAACACTTGGGAGGCTGAGACAGGAGGATCACTGTGAGTTTGCGACCAGCCTGGGCTACATAGTGAGTTTTAGATCAGTCTCAAGTACACAGTGACACCTGTCTCAAAAAACCAAACCAAACCAAACCAAACCAAACAAACCCACCACCATCACCAACAAAAAAAAAAACAAATTATAAATTCTGGCTAATTGACAATATACCTTTTGTCTTCAACCTAAAATAATGATGTTTGGTGGTGTTTGGTTTCCAGATGTTTAACTGATGTATTTTAAAACATTTCTTTTCCATTGCAAAGTCTTACATTGTAATTATGGGTTGGCTTGACCTCCTGTCTACCTTCTGCTTTCAGGCTTCTGACAATAATTATAACACAAAATTATGCTACTGTTATTAAAGCACTTTTACTCCTTCTGATTCTAATTGCAAGAGATCTCTGTTAATTGATCTGCAAAAGTTTTGAGTCGTAATTAAAAGACGTTATAATTCAATTGGCCAAATATACGAATGCACTCTGGTTTCATAAATTGTCTCATATGTTTGTCTGTGCCCGTCCAGGTGTCTCTGTCCAATTGTGTTTTTGATAAATGTTGTTAGAGGCACGGCTTCCTTTTCTCCTAGCAGAGCAAAATGACGTGAAAGATTAATTCTGATTGCAGTGCATATTGTGGTCTGCATTCAATATCTCAAAGATATGTTTTATTGGTTACAAATAAATTGTTCATTGCAACAACCTGGTTTTATAGGTTAAATAAAAAAATGTCAAGCTAATGAAGATATACCCCCACTAACCATTGCTAAGTACGTTGTTATAAAGCATTTACGTTGGTTATCATCACAGGGTTGAGTTCTAAATATGTTACTGTGATATGTTTATATTGGTCATCTTCAAAATATGATCATTTCTGTGGAAAAACAAGGTGTTATTTTAAAAAAGTTCCTTTTGGTACCAAGTTACATTACAGGACATAAGGTTTCATATAATTGTAACAATTTTTATCACTACTATTCTGGTGTACAAAATGTATTCATGTTTTCTGACTATGCAGGTCTTCCAACATATTGTTTATGGCAATAACGTTTTGTTTTGTTTTGTTTTGGTACCAGGGATCGAACTTGGGACTTTGCACTTTCAAGGCAGGCTGCGGCACCACTGAGCTAAATCCCTAGCCCGGGAAGACATCTTTTGGCAGGTTAGCTCCTGAGGGGCATGAGGGTACCTGAGTGGGTTGCCCAGGAACCCGAGGAGTTTATAGAGCAAAATCCGTGTGGGTGCAGGGTGGGTTGTGACCCAGAGAACTTTTGTAAATAATCTAGAAACCTAGAAAATGCTAGGAAAACGTAAAATGACTTCTGGCTCTAACAGCGATCTGTTTCGTTTAGTTCAAAATTAACAGACACTGGGAGGCATCGACCGTGCGATGGGCCCTCTGGCCTCATCCCCGGCCTTGAACAGCCCCTTCCTGTGCACTAGAATAGAGCTGGAGGAATCTTGAGGGAGACTCCCCAACTGCCAAGAACGGTTACGTCTGGGTTAAAGTGAACTGTGTCGTGACCATGATGTAAACTGAGGAAATGAAACGTAACCACCTGAGTGAGATCATAACTGTAAAACTCTGTAAAAGAGGGAGCTGCAAGACGACAGGGGGTCGATCACTGGCACTGCCTCTTTGAACGCGATCGACCCTTTTCTGACAAGATAAAGTTTTTATCTTACTTCCGTTCAGCTCCTCTCTATGTGTGTGTCACTTGCCAGTTCCTCCTGCCACAGGTTACAGCTATGATCACCCGAAGAGGTTATAAGTACAGTCGCTTGGTAGTAGTGGTATAACTGGGAAACTTGGGCGGAAAGAACAGGCTTCTCCTGGGAAAGGGTGGGTCCAGAGGTCTCTGGTCACTCACTGCCGTGGGTGATGTCTGTCTAGACTTTATTAGGCCCAGTGTTTCTCCTTTGAGGGACTATGCAGGTCTGGTCATCTTGTCTTTATCTTGAGGTCTGGTCTCCAATAGATGAGTCTTCAGCCAAGATGTGGTGTGTTTCACCTTCGTCCTGACTCTCTTGAAGACCTAGCCCTGTCTGACTGCCTATATTTTTATCCAACTCAGTTGTCTATAATCGAACGACCAACCCTAAATACCTCCCCAGTGGATAATTGGTATCACTCGGTCCCATAAGGTCTAGATAGACATCAGTCAACTAGGACCTCCTGATCCATCCCTTCCTAAAAAAGACTTTGTTCTGTCCATGTTCACTTAACTAAATGACCGGCTTCCCTATTAAATCAATGCTATCTAAGGAGCTATACTTATAATCTTATTGGTCGATCACAGTTTTGACCCACACCTCATGATTTTATACCCAACTTGTGACTTTTTGCTCTAAAAACTTCCTTTGAAAAGTGGGCCCATTGGCAACCCCTTGTCGGGTCCCCTCCTGTCTCTCACGAGCTGTCTCTAAAGTTGAAGGGGATTATGAGATCCCAAGCTTCTCTTCTGCTTTTCAGCTTGTTTTGGTTTTTGGTTTTTTGGGTTTTTTGAGACAGGGTCTCACTATGTAGTCGAGACTGACCTGGAACTCACTATTAGCCCAGGCTGGTCTCGACCTCACAGCAATCCTCCTGCCTCAGCCTCCCCAGTGTTGGGATTACAGGCGTGTGCCACCACGCCCGGCCTCTGCTTTTTAGTTTGTGACACAAGTAGTTTTGCTACACGTGTGCTCCTGTCATGGTGTGCTGCCCTCAGCAGCGTCCGCAAACACTGGATTTTGGACCGGAACTTCCAGAACTGTGATCCAAAATAAATCTTTTCTGTTTATAAGTATGTTTGAGTATTTAGCTATGGGGAGGGAAGCGGGCTCATGGCAGTGGAATCAGACATTGTGAGCTCCTGAGACTCAGTTTCCTTTATTGTACAATGGGGATCACTAGCAGACAGGGCAGCAGATCTACGTAGACGTTCAGTTAATAGGATCTACTATTTTTCTTTCCACCAGACTTTATGGAGCACCTGCAAAGCTCGGCCTGAGCTAGCTGCTGGAGTGAAGAGGAGACAGCTACGAGGCAGGGGGTGGTTCTGTCCCACGATGAGCGCTGGTCCAGTTGCTCCACAAATACGGAGAAAGGACCTTGACTCTGATGGATCCACATGGGGTGGGGCCCAAGGAAGGCCTCGCAGAGGTGGGCTCCGGTGGCCTTGAGTGTCTGCAGAACAGGGTTGGGAGGGAGCTCTAGGCTGAACCCAGGCCCAAGCAAAGGCAGGGAGGCGTGAGAAGCTCACTGCCTCCATACACTCAGGTTGTCCAGTGAAGCTGGAACACAGGGGAGTAGTGGTCAGGTCCCAGAGGGCCTTGGGAGACGCCAAAGAGACTGAGGAGGAAATGGAGAACAAATGAAAGTCTTGCTCAGGGAAGATATGGCCTGACTTTCATGTCAGAAAGAATTTTGCGGCTGCTCTGTGGAGTCTGGTTGGGAGAGGGTAGGAGACTCCTGGACTCCTAATAACCCAAGGCAGAGGTGGTGGAGGCCCTGACAGGACAGTGGTCATGGGGCTGAAGACAGAGTCGTAGAGCCAGGTCTGAACTGAGGTAGAACCACCTCTTCGCACCACTTCAGGTGACCTCCAACAGCCAGCACCTGTTTTGGTCTCTCCACTTCAGCCTACCTGTAAAGGGGACTTTCCCTGAGTAGGATTCCTGCAGAGGAACCCTACTCATCTTCCTCGGAGGCGGAGATGTGGCTGGCCCAACACTGCCCCCTGGTGGCTAAAGTCAGGGGGCACCCACCATCTAAGTAAGCATCTTTCAGGTTCCAAGCGGGCCAAGTGACTTTCTCTGAATCTACTAAATCTAGCCCCTCCCCACTCCCACTGGACGATGGACTAAAGTCCACATTTTACCTCCCTTTTCTGCTGAGTAAAGGGAAGGGTCCTGTCCTCAGCCTCACCTCGTTTGTAAGCAGGGGATAATGCTCCCTGCCTCCGCTTGGGCCTGGTGCACAGAAGGTGAGAGGGGTGAAGCCAGCACTGTCACGTGCCCTGGAGAAGCACAAACATCGAGGGCGCCTTCCCTCCAGCCCAGGACCGTCAGACCTCCCTCTGTCCTGCTGTGTGTCCCCAACTAGCCTTTCCTGTCAGGGACCTGCATGCCTACCTTGGCCTTCTCCAGAGAGAGAAATCAGGGGACCCTGCCGGCGGATGGCCCGGGCGCCTGCTCCAGTCCTGCCATTGGACACCAAGGCTTTGGCTGAGGCCTTGTTCCTTGCTGAGGCTCAGTTTCCCGGGCTGTAAGATGGGGCTACAATCCCTGTCTACTCCAGGGTTACATGAAAAGAAAGAGGCTGTGAAAATTGTAGAGCACTGTGCCGTGGAGCTTTCCAGAAGGCCTGCTTTGGACACCAGTGACTTCCACAGTGGTGTCTTTCTGGTTTGGATCCTTGGAAGGTGCACGGGGTTAGGGTAGAGACTTGGGGAACAAGGGAGCCTTTCCAGCTGCCATGAAAATACCCCTGTATAGGCTCCACCTGCTTCCCCTCAGAGATCGGGAGGGAGTTCTGGGAGAAAACAGCCTGGAGAGGGCAGGTCCCATCTCTAATCCACGGGTAGGTGAGGCCTTGGCATTTCTAGCGCCTCACATTAAGCAAGAATTTAGAGCTGTGGCCTCCTGCCAAAATGTTGTCATTCTTTTTCTTCCTGACCAAAAAACAAAGCTATTTTGTAACCTTCATCGCAACGTGTATTTATCGACAACCATTTAATGTGTGCACAGTCATTCATGACGAATAGCAAACACTGGGGAGGTTGTTACCGGTGTCACCCGGGGCCAGGAGAGCCCTTCTGTTTCAGTCCCTTCAGCCCTAAACGGTCTCTGGCCACCCACACCCCACTCCTTCGTCTGTAAGGCTCACCGCACCCGGCCACCTCCACTCACCTTTTAGCTCTCCCTTCAGGGGTCACTTTCGAAGGCAACGCTCATCTGACACCCTTGCCTGGTTTCTTTGCTGGATGCTCCCCCAGCATTTAGCTACTGCCCCACCAGTATCCGTGGTGACAGCAGGTATGTTTTGTTGTTGTTGGTGGTGGTGTTGTTTTTGAGACAGGGTCTCACTATGCAGTTCAGGCTGAGTTTGAACCCTCTCTGTAGTTTAGACTGGCCTTGATCTTGCAGCGATCCTCCTGCCTCAGCCTCGTCATTGCTAGGATTACAGGCGTGCGCCACCACACCGGGCTAGGCAGGTGGATCTGATAACTGATCTTCAGAGTCAGTTCTGCCTCCCTTGACATAGGCCGGTCTCCCGTTAGCAAAATTGGGTCGTCCCAGTGTCCTTGGTGTCCCCGGGGTCTCTGGTGCCTGGTGCTAGGCAGACACTTATCAAATGTTGAAGAATGAACGGGTAAATGAAGGAATGAACTCTGGGCAAGGCAGTACTCCCCACCTGAGCAGCTTCTCCTCCTCCTTTGCTTCCTTGTCAATTATAAAAAATCCAGTGTTAAAAATTAAGAGTGGGTGGGCATCGTGGCACCGGCTTGTGATCTCAGCAATGTGGGAGGCTGAGGGAAGATCATATATTCAAGCCTAGCATGGGAAACTTAGTGACTAAATGAGACCCTGTCTGGGAATTAAAGATAGAAAAAGGGCTGGGGGTGCAGCTCGGTGCAAAGGTCCTAGGTTTAGCCCCCAGTACCAAAGAAAAGAATTGATAATGGGATTCCTGAGGACACATCTGCTGAGCTTCCTGGTGTCCCTGCCTCCTCCCTGGCCAGGGAGGAGATACTACTGTGGGCAGGCCCTCCGGCCAGGGTTAGAGCTGGCTGTAATACGGAGCAGGCATTCTCTCCTCAGCACTGGCCGCATTACATCCGGAGTCGAGCTGAGGCCTACGTGACTCAGGAGCCTGTCGGATGGTGCAGGCTGATGCAGCTTTCACACCAGTGGCCGAGGTCTAAGTCCCGACCTGAGAAGCTTCAGGGCCTCTGGTGAGAAGAACTGTGGGTGAGGACCTCTGGCTCCAGACCACATTCCTGTCATAGAGCTACCCCTCCCTTACTTATTTTAGTAATGTACTAGCAAACCACAGCTGAGCTGCTCAGGTGGGCCCCTGCAAGGATGCCTGACCCCTCCCCTCTACAAGCCTTGCCTGTGTCAGCTGATATCATCTACCCTGTTCTTACCCATGCCTGTGTCATCAGTATACACGGATGAGCCGGGCGTGGTGGTGCACACCTGTAGTCCCAGCACTCGGGAGGCTGAGGCAGGAGGATTGCTATGAGTTCGAGACCAGCCTGGGCTGCATAGTGAGTTCCAGGTCAGTCTCAACTACATAGTGAGACTCTGTCTCAAACAAACAAACAAACAAAAATATTTATGGATGGTCCCGGTTGCTTGGGGCTCTGTCAAGGTCAGTCTACTACATAGTGAGACTCTGTCTCAAACAAACAAACAAACAAAAATATTTATGGATGGTCCCGGTTGCTTGGGGCTCTGTCACATGGTGAGCATCACCACCACATGCCTCGTGTGGCCCACCTGTCCCTGCCTTCTGTTTTAGTCTTGTTTCCATGTCTTTCTTTTGCCTTGTGTTGCATAGCCTTGCAGGAGGTCTGAGACTTTCAGTTGGGGCCTCAATACCTACTGTCACCCTGAAGGTGGTCACTGTGCTCGCTACCCAGCACCTTGTAACTTGCCAGCCTCAGACAAACGATATCTGTGTCTGTTCTCTGTGATCAGAGCCTCAGGACACTGTGCCCTGCCAGGGAACTGCTTACATTCATACTGACACAAAATTGGCGGCAGGTGTTAGAGGAGCAAAGGTCAGGGCTCAAGTCCACAAACCTGGTTTTTAGGCAGGGGGTGGAAGGAAGACTGAACTGAGGTGTTTCAAGTGCCTGTCATGGCAACAGGTGGGCTAAATGAAAGCAAGCGCGGGGTCTCCCCAACCCCTGTAGACCACACTCCCTATACCCTGGCAAAGCGCGTGGGAAAATGGCCCTGGGAGGCCCGAGTGCCTCTGCAGAGGCTGCCCAGAGAGGTGTACAACGGACCGGTCAAAATGCGTCCCATCTCTAACACAGGGCAGCCCTTCACCTTGAGGGTGTCTTGTGATTCTTGCCTGACAGCCCCAAGCAGTCTCCTTCGAGCCAGTACAACCAGTTTTTGTTTTGTTTTGTTTTTTTTTCCTCTTGCCAATTTGCTTAAACCCTCGGACCAGAATCCCTCGGGGATGGCTTTTGGTGCTGAGTTTGTTTTCCATCCTGCTCAGAAGCTAAACTGGGAACAATGCAGCTGGCTCAGCTGCCACCCCCACCTTCCTAAGCCTCATCATTTCTCCCTTAAAATGCATCTTGGATGATGAAGAAATTATTAACCTATTAAGTGGGGGGAAAAAATGAAATATCAGAATCGGGGAGCAGAAAAGGCCCCTGGACAGGTGGCATGTACTGCAGCCTCTGGCCTCTGGGAGCGGTCTTGGGCAGCTAGGACCTCTTTTACAGGGACATCGGACCGTTCACTCCCAGGGACTCACCCGGGAGAACGGGACCCTTGCCCTTTGGCACAATACGGCAGGACAGACAAGGAGGGCAGGACCGATGACCCCGAGCTGGGGGCCGAGCCAGCCCGGTAGAACATAAGCCTTTTGAGATAGTGTTGGCCTCTGTCCTGGTCCAGCCAGAAGGCAGAGTGGGTTAGGGCAGGGTGGTACAGCCTGGGACCCCGCCCGGGGGATGGGCTCAGCCCACCAGCTCAGACTGGGTGACTTCCTCAGCCCGTTCTGGGGCGCGGTCTGCTGCGCTGGGCGTTGTCCCGGAAGAGTCCCCGAAGAGCAAGCTATGGTCATCCTGAGTGTGGGCTGTGGACACCAGGAGGGTCAGCCTGTGAGAAACCATATGCAGAAGCCACTGCTGGCCAGCTCTGGGGCTGTGTGGCAGAGATGGAGGAACAGCTCAGGGTCGTTCTCTGGGAATGGGCCGAGTCCAGGGTAAGCACCAGAAGTGGTAGCTCACACGCTGCGTGCTAGCAACTGCCTTTTCCCTCCAGCTCTCGATTGGTTCCAGCACCACTCAAGCCGGAAAGAAGCCCAGCTGAGTAGCAGCAGGATCCCAGCAGTGTGGAGGGAGGGGGCCGCCGCAGACGCGGCCTTGGCAACTCTGCTCTGCAAGGCAGGGCGAGCTGTGACCTGTGACGGTGGCCCTGCCTGGCCCTGCTGCCCGTTTCTGATTTTTCCCTTCAAAGGTAGCAGAACCAGCTTGGAGAGTCCCGGATGCTCAGCTGGAACCGGGAGCCTCACCCTTGCCCCATGTCCCACCGGCTGTGTCCAAATGACTCTACCCATCCTCTCCAACCCTCGGTGTGCAGGGAATAGGCTCCTCTGCTCCTCGGCCCGAAGGCGGGTCCCCCCTCCCCCGAGATGGGATACCAGACACAGGTGAATTCCGGGATAGCTTCCGCAGGCAGAAACCTTTCTCTGTAAACACAGGGTCCTTCTCAGAGTTGCTGTGGTTTGCCTTCCCTAGGGACAGGGGAGGAGGTGCTCCTTTGACTCTCCAGGGTGATGTCAGCACTGGTTGTCCCGATTCCCGCTTGGCCAACTGTGCCAAGGGGGCACACAGTGGCAGAGGTGATGATGTGGGTTAAGAGGCTCTCTGTGATCCCCTTTAGCACTATCCGAGGGCGGGGGCAGACGGGGCTGCAGAGGGAGCCGGTCTAGCGTGAACAGGGTCCTCACTGTGCTGGGGAGGGTCTCGCTGCCCTGAGACCCTGCAACTTCTCCTCAGAGGCCTTGTCAGGGAGCAGCACCTCCACAGTGTAGCTGACCTTCTTGGCATGTATCAGGCTGTAGGTGTTGTCAAAGCGCAGGACATCTGTGAGGACAGGGAGATGATTAGCAGCAGTGCGAGCCCAGACCTGAAGTCGTCAGCCCTTGGGGATGGGCTGACCAAGGCTACAGGGGTGGGTCTGAGGGTCAGCCCAGCCCAGCCTCAGCCCGCTCCTGCCTCGCCACTTCCTGGATGCCGGTGCTGGATCCAGGATCACGGGACCCAGTAGCATCCCAGGTAGCCCCTCTGTGCAGTGGACTTTACATTAACCTACCACGACTCCCTGAGTCCTTAAAGCTGCCCAGGCAGAAGGCAACATCCCCACTGCTACAGTTTGGATGAGCATCCCCCGAAGACCCTTGTGTGAAAGGCCTGAGGTCCGGGGTGGCACTCCTGGGAGGAGGTGGACTCTTTAGGAGGCCGTCTTTTGTGGGGTCCTTATGTCACCAGAGATGTGCCCTTGCAGGGGATTTGGGGACCCCAGTCTTTTCCTTTCTTTTTCTCTTTGCTTCCTGGCTTGTGGTGTAAGTGGTTTTTGCTCCATCATGTCCTCTTACCACGACGTGCTGCTCTTGCCCTAGGCACAGTGTAAGGGGGCCGTTGGATCTTAGAATGGAAACTGTATACCATCAGCCAAAATAAACAGTTTCTCTCTATAAGTTAATTTCCTCGGGTATTTTGTTATAGTGACAGAGAGCTGACTAATACGCCCACTGCACTGACAAGGGAGCTGAGGCTTACACAAATGATATGACTTTCCAGGAACCACAGAGCAAGACAGAGAGGCACTGGGATTCCCTTATCACACTGTCCCAACCCACAGGAAAGCCCTGAGCTGTGTAAGCTACTTTCCCAGCTCATGGATGGAAGGTGTTTCCTAGAGTGCCAAGTTCCAATGCGAGCTCTGGGACAGGATGAGCTATCCGGACTTCTGTCTCCACTCTCCTACCTCTCCCTTCCCACAAGCTGGACTAGGTAGTTGTGTCACCTTCAGTGTAGGAAACCAACCTTGGGTTCCCCATCTTTTCGCTCTGCTCCCCGTACAGGTGGGGCAGTAGCAGTGTTCCTGGGTGGGAGAGTCCGAAGCTTGAATGCTGCCCAAAGGCCTTTATGTTAAAGAGTTGGGACTCAAGGTGGTGCTTCCGGGAGAGGGTGGCGTCTTTAAGAGGCGGAGCCATGCGGGACGTCCTCAGGGCATTGGAGGTGTGGCTCCCTGGTTCTTTCTGTTGGGTTCCCTGGCTTATAATGTAAGTGTTTTGCTCTCTCACACACGGTGTACTGCCTCACCACGGGCCCAAAACCAATGGGGCCATTTGCTTGTGGACTGGAACCTCCAAAACTATGGGCCAAAATAAACCTTTTTACCAGCTGGATATCTCTGGCATTTTGTTATAACAGTGGAAACTGACTTCCACGCTGGGCAATGCTCCTTCTAAGACTGACCGAGCTGCCACCTCTTCAGGGTTCCTAGCGTGGGGTGGTCCATGCAACTGGCAGCTCTGACGCTAAGCCTGCGTTGTCTTTAACCCTGATGAGCTTGGCGTGGGGGCTGCCCGGGAGCTGAGCTCACAGTCCTGGGCTCTGAACCCCTGGCTGTCCCCCCGCGAAGCCCTTGTGCCCACCCACAGGGGCCACTCTTCAGATCCAAGACCCTGAAGCCACGACCCCCCCCCTTGGGGCCCATGGCAATTAAGAGCTCATACCACCGGCTTCACGCTCCTGAGAGCAGGAAATAGAGGACACACACAGAGGCTGACAGGCGAGAGACAGCCGGCTCTGCTCTGTCCTGAGAGGGAAACAACCTCAGCAAACCACGCAGCTCTTACAGACGCCGGCCTGGAGGCAGGTGAGGCTCCCGTCCTCCGGCACCAGGTGGGCATTGTAGCGCTGGCTGGGCAGCACCTCGGTCATCTCCCGGGCTCTCTGCCGCTCCCCCATCTTGGTCTTCAGGAAAATCCCAAAACCGACGTCCCCACCATCCGATGCAAACTGCCACCTGCAGCAGACAGAGCCCCAGTGACCTCCCGCCCGGGCTCTGGAGCTCTTTCCAGCCGGGCCAGGTGTGGAGCGGCCTCTGCCCCTACCTGAGCACACAGCCCGGGAACAGGATCTCATTCTCCACCTGCTGGGAGGAGCCGCGGCCCACGGACACCTGGTGCTCGTACTGCACTCTCAGCTGCTCTCGCAGGAAGTAGCTCCTGGGCACCTCGCCCCCGTAGTTGATCTGTGGATGACGCGGGCTGAGCAGACACCGGCCGGGGAGGTCCCCTCCCTCCCTGTCCTCCGGGCTCCTGTACCTTGGTCAGGCACTTGGGGTTGCCATCGGGGTCAGTCATGGTGCCCCCAAACTCCACGGGCAGCTGGTCAGGGCTGATGAACTTTGTCAGCTCCTGCTTCCAGTTGTCTGTGTGCGAGCAGAGGGGCCTCCCAGGGGGTCAGGGAGATGGACCGAGGGCCTTGGAGGACGCCCGATATGTCTCGGCTTTGCCACCCCAGACATCTACTCCTCAGAGTACCCAAGGGCTTCGGGTAGCTTACAGGCCCGGACCTAGGACTGGAAGCCTCACCCACATGAACGGAAGCTGCCATGGTTAGGCCTGGGGGCCAGTGACTTGGTTAAGAGCACTAACCCGGCAGAAAGGGGCCCTTTAACATTGATCAAGGTAGACAACGAGATGGGCCTCGACTCACCTCCCAGAATCACTATCTTCTTGTGGGTCTCCTCACCCATGAACGACTTGACCAAGTTGAAGGCTACTGGGAAAAGCTTAGGGGCTGAAACACAGGAAATTCCCTTGGGCAGGTAGACAAGAGAGAGAACTCGGGTGTATAGAGCTATGGCCAAGGGCATGCACGAGTTAGGAGTGAGATCTGTATTCTGCCATTCTTTGCGGTGTGATCTTCAGCTAGCGACTCACCCTCTCTGAGTCTTAGCGCTATTAATGCAAAAATATAAAATGGAAGCCAGGCGTGGTGGTACTCAGGAGGCTGAGGCAGGAGGGTTGCTGGGAGTTCGAGGCCAGCCTGTGCCATGCAGTGAGTGTGAGCCCAGCCTGAACTATATATATAGTGAGCCCCTGTCTCAACAAATAAAATAAAATATAAAATAGAGATGAAATGACGTATGTGTAACAATTGGCACAGTGCCCGGCTCTTAGTAAATGGCTGTGTCCCTTCGTGAAGTCTGAAGGCGTTGGACACAAGCTAGGGGTAGTGTTGGCAGTGTCAGTTCCTAAAGGGAAACATTCAAGGTTTTCCCAGGTGGCTCTGGAGCCTCCTTGGGGCCAAGTAGATGTGAAGGTCCCACTGCGAAGCTTAGACTCTGTTTGCTGGGTGCTTTCTGTGGGTCCAGCTCTGTGCCGCACCTTCACAGACCATCTCATTTGGCCTCATGGCCCCATTTCACAGAATGGGAAACTGAGGCTCGGTGAGGTAAAACAGGCTCCCTGAGAATCACAGAGCTAGCTCGACTTGAAGCCAGATCGCGTAACTCTGGGCCCCCCGGGGCAACCCCATACTACATGGCCACCCAAGACGGAGACCGTTCGTTTCTCCTAAAGGACGCTGGTTAACATGTGGCCCTTGGACTGCCTGTCACTAGTCCATGTTGACATAAGTGAACATTTAGAAATTTAGGAACAAACATGCCAGTACATCACAAAGTATTAGTCTGCCAAGGACTGGAGCTAAAAACACAAACAAAATCCAAGCAAACAAAAACCCAGTTCTTCCAAAGGATGGTGTGAGAAGCCCAGGGCTCAAAGGCTAACCCACTGCCTCCCACCCCAACTCCTCCCCAGAAGGGCGTGCAGATCATGGGCTCACCTCGAACAACAATTAAATGCTTCACCGTCTCAGGGTAATTTGCCTCCAGGATGGCAAAAAACTGTGAAGTCAAGATGAGGCTGATTGTGGTCATTCTCCAGAACTTACTCATCCCTGGATTTTGGAGGCTTTTTGTTTTGTTTTTCTTTTATTTTGGGGGGTACTAAGGGTTGAACCAGAGACCTTGCACTCAGCTATAAACCCAGATCTTTAAATTTTGTTTTTTAAAATTCTCAGACAGGTCTTCAGAATTAAGGATTATTTTAATCTTCCATCATTGCCTTTTCTCTTTTACTTTCCTTTTTAGTTTTATTTTAGGATTCCCTATTTTTAATGTGCGTACAGAGATTTCTTTAACTGAAATACGGAATAGTTTCTCTGGTGTGAAAAACTACAATAGTACACAGGATCCTAACGAGATAATTAATAATGTGAAATAGGAAGTAAAGGGCTAAAGGTGTAGGGAAAGTGAGAAGGGTGGGGGAAAGGTAATAAGGGAGAGAAAAAAATATGAGAAACTGAAAAAATGGAAATAAAGTGTTTGTAAATGGGGAGGGGAGGAGGGGGTGAAGGGAGGGTAGGGACAAGGGGAAAAATGAGAATCAAGACCTATTATGTAAAGGTACAGACTCCCAATGATGAATGTAACTGTATTTGTATACCTAGATTGTACCAATAAACTCAATAAAAATTTTTTAAAAAAATTTTAAAAAAATTATCTGACAGGGTCTCCCTAAATCACTAAGTTACCCAGGGTGGGCTTGAACTTGTGATCTTTCTGCTTCAGCGTCCCAAAATGCTGGGAATACAGGTGTGTGCCACACTAGGCCTGGCTTCTGTGGCTTCTGATGCTGCTGAGACAAGAGGCCCAGCCCGGCCCAGCCCACCTCCCCACCAGCAGAGCATGTGTGCTCTCCTCTGAGTTCCTCTT